GTGGGACAGCACGAAGAAGATGCAGAGTGTCTCATCCAAGAGCTCGAGTCCCCCGTTTCTTTGGTCCTTTGGCTTGGTTTTGCTCTGCCCTGTCCCTCCTGTTGCTAAAATGGCGTGGCTGGTCACAGGTTTGGATTGGGAGCTGCTGCCAGCGGGCTGGGAAGGCACAGCGTCCCTTTTTGCTTTGGTTCATGTTTTGGGGAGTTGCTGTGGGGGAAGGAAATGCTGGGAATGTGTAAGTGGTTTGTTGTTTGAGTTGTTATACACTGAAACCTGCCTTAAGCAATCCAGGGAATCTCGGTGCCAGCCCGTGGGGCAGGGCTGGGCCTGCCTGGGTCACCCCTCTGGTGGGACCTCGGTGGTGTCAGTGCTGCTGTTCCTTCACCAGAGCCGGAGAGGAGGGAGGGAGGGAGGAGTGGGATGGTGTTGGATCTGACTTCGCACCCTGATCATATCCCTTTGCTCATAAACACCCCTCCACCCCTCTCCTGGGAGGAAAGGAGCTGCTCCCCCCCCTTCTTTCAGAGGGAGAGCCCTGGTTAAACCACCCCAAAAACACTGGCAGTGCAGGGAGAGGGTCCTGTGAGCGATCTCACTGCCCCTGCACATGAACAAACACTTCTCTCCTGTGCTCCTGCCCTGAGCTGGAATAGCAGCAGGTCTGGCCTTGGCTTGAGGGACACAGAAATGTGGACCTGAAGCCAAACTCCTCTGCAGAGTCTCAGACATCCCACGTTCACAGCGTTGAACCAAAGTATGAGGACGCTCTAATTTTCCTCCCCTAGTCACATCTTAGGTGTGGGTTTTAAGGTCTGAGTGTGACCAAGGGTCTGAAACAACCTCCACACCCAGAGACCTCCTCCACTTGCAGGCAGAGGTGGCTGAAGGAGCTGATAAAGGCCCTGGGTGGCGATGTCTGGTCCTTGCAGTGGGTCATGTTCTGCTGGGGGAGAGCAGCAGAGGTGCCCAGGACACACCCATCCCTGCTGCAGGTGCTGGGCAGCAGCACTTGTGCTGCCTTAGGTGGGCAGAGAGAGAGCTGACCGAGAGGGACAAAGGAGGGAGATGCCCCAAGAAGCTGAGATGGTAGCCCTGGAATCACTTCTCCTTCATTCACCGCTTTGTACTGAGCGGGTTTGTGCTTAGGTGGGGAAAACACCCCAAAGAGGATGAATATTGGCAGAAACTGCTGGTTTCTTCCATGAATTCCTTGACACTGGCAGTGGCCTCCTGCTGTCTGATGGCAATCCCTGTGGAGGGAGAAGGACACCATCCCTCCAGCTCTTCCCTCCCTGCTTCAGCTTCCGTGTCTCGGGGTTTGTTTTCTTTAATTTGCTGTGCCCAGGGTCAGTTCAGTTGATCACAAGCCCCAAGAGCCAAACATTCCCATTTTTCTGCCATTCTTCCCCTCGTTATTCTCTAGGGCCTCTCATCTTGGAGCCCCCAGTTTGTGTCTGGGCCTGAATAACTGCCTGGTCCATAGTTGTGTCTGTTTGACTGCCTGTCACTGCTGTGGCTGGAATGTCTGCAGCCACCTCTTGGGATCTGAGGAATGACTTTTTCTGGAGCAGCTCCTTTCCCAGACACACAGTTTTGCACCCTCCTTGTGCCGTGGCACACACTGAGCAGGCAGGGAAGAGCAGGTCCTGTGCTATCAAAGTGTCTTCAGGTGGGACAAACACTTTGCAGAGGAGAAAATTCCATCGTGGTAAGGAGAAATATTGAATCTCTGGAACTAGTTATGGGTTATGGGGGGGGAAAAAGCACTTTAAATAATCTTTCCACTTGCAGCCTCTCATGAGAGTGACTTAAGGCCGTGACTTAAAGTCAGACTGAATATAAAGCCTGGTTCTGCCCTGCTCTAGCAGCTGACCTTGGTTGAAATATTATTAAATATGGGACAACTGGAAAGAGTGAAGTGATGGCTCTCACTCATTAAGTCTGCTCTGTCTGATCCACAGTGAAATTTCAGAAGAGCAGGAGTCTCTGGAAGGAGAAAAAAAATATCCCACACAATACATAATCCCATTATTTAAGAACAGATTTTTTTTATTATTATTATTTTTTAATTTGGGTCTGTAGCTCTCACCTTTTGAGCCTCTCTCTTGTTCACACAGTCAAAAAAAAAAATATAAATCAAAGACAGTCTCAGTGCAATTAAATTTACTGGGAGTCAGTCATTTACTGGTCTTAAATGCACAGAAACCAGCCATGTCCCCTCCGTGGGGAACGAGGTGACAAAGCCCCCGGAGAGGTAGAAGGTGGAGGAGGTTTTTGGGAATGCATCACTGCGCTGCAGCCCCTGCTCTCCCTGCCTGCCACTCTCTCAGCTGATCCTGCTCCAGGGGGAGTCTTCCCAGCCCTGTCTGATGTGTCCTCTCTCGTCCCTCTGTCCCAGTGAGGTTGCTGCTCTTGCTGTCAGCTCAGTTGTCCGTGGTCTGCTGTTCCTCTGTGCATGTGTTTGTTTTGCTTCTCTCTCTGGTGTGGGGGTGTTTCCTCCTTGTTTAATTGTCCCAGATGTACTAGTGTTGACTTGTTTGTTGTTCTCTTGCCTCTGATCCAGTCTTCACACACACACACACACACATACAAAATAACAAACAAAAAAACCAACCACAGATAGAAACAACAACAACAACAACAACAACAACAACACCCAAACCCAGCAACAACCCCAGGCAAAAAGGGTTCGGTTGGGAGCAGGTGACTTTGGCATCAGGGAGCTGACAAAACAAGGGCAGGAAGGGAGGACAGGGGGTGCAGCTGTGGCTGTGCTGGCAGCTCTGTGGGACATGGGAATGGGATCTGTGGGACACAGGAATGGGATCTGTGGGACACAGGAATGGGATCTGCAGGACAGGGGAGTGGGAAGTGCCGGCCCCGTCTCAGCACTCGCCCGCCAGATGCTTTGAGGGAGGCACTGATGGTGGGGGGGTAGGGGGGTGGGATATTTTTAGAGCAGAGACAGAGCTTAAAACTGGATGTGTCGATCCTCCAGAGCTGGGATTGGCACTGGGAATGTTCTCCCGTGTTTTTGGTGCGAGGAGTCCAGGCCTGGCTGCCTGCACATCCCATGGGTGTGTGCTGGTTGCTGCAGGGGGGAGGAGTGGAAAGCCAGGTGGAGAAAAGCAGGGGACTGAGAAATCCATTGCATCAACCAGTAGCTCCTTTTTAAAATCAAATCCTGTCCTCAGCACCAGCACTGCTGAATAAACCCCTTTTGCCCATAGAAACAAGAAGGACCTTTCCTCTCTGAGGAACAGTTTGGGAAGGTGTCTCATGTCATTCCATCCATCCATCCCTCCATCCATCCATCCATCCATCCATCCATCCATCCACTCACTGTGTCCTCTTACTGCTCAGTCAGAGACACATCCACTGGCCCATCCTGGCTGAAGGGCCTGACAGCACTTTATCCACCATCAAAGACCAGGAGGGAGCCTGGAAGGGCACTGGCAGCAGGGTGGGGTGGGTTTAGTTGCTCTCACTGCTATTTCTACCTCATTTTCTGGTTGTGCTCAGCTGGGAGAAGAGAATCCCTGATCCAGAGGGATGTTAAACACAGCCAGCTAAGGTGATTAAGGGACTGGAGCATCCTTTCTGTGAGGGAAGGCTGGGAAAGCTGCTCTGGGTGTCTGTGCTTGAGCAGGAGAATTGGACTAAAAGAATTCCAGAGGTCCCTTCCAGATCAAAGGGGAAAAAGAAAAAAAAAAGCCATGCAAGTGGTGCCGGGTGAGTTGGGGCTGAAGAGACCCAGAGCTGGTGGTTGGAGCCCATGATAGAAACATCAACAGCCTTTCCTCACCTTGGATAAAGTCTAGGGGAGCCCAGGCAGGAGAAAGCCCTGACCCAAGGTCATTCCCCAGCCTGGGAGAAAGCACATGGTGCAAAGGGAGGGGGATGTTCACCTTCCAGAGCCCCCTGCAGGAGGTGGAGGTTGGCAGGGGATGAGTGGCACAGGGAGCTCAGGGTCATTTCGGATCTCACCCCAGCAGCATTTACCATTCAGAGGGACAGTGTGGGTGATGAAGCCTCTGCTGCATTCAGGGGGCTCCGGGCTAGAAACAGCCAACAGAAATTCCCAGAGCACCCCTGGATGTGAAAGAAGTGCTTCCATTACCAGAGCATGTGGTACAAACAGACACTGGGATCAGTGGTTTTCCAGCCTGGATATTTTGGTGGGATAGATCTGGGATGGAGGGCAGGGGACAGACGGGGCAGGGACACAGGACTGCAGGTTCTACCCCAGGATGGAGTGCAGATGAGGTGTCCTCTCAGCCCAGCCCACTGGGGCGCTCAGGAGAACCTGAGCTTAGTGAAAAAAAAAAATCAAAAAAGCCAAGTCTACGACCTTTCTGCAGGGGCTGTTGGGGCAGAGGAGGAAGCAGAGGAGTGGGAAAGCGTGGCAGGTTAAGGAGGAGCTGGGCTGCCCATCTGCTGGGTCCTGCTGGGCCCCCCAGGGTCCCGCTCCGGGTCCGTGTGCGTGTTGTGCGCTCCCAGCCGTGTCCTCACGTGTTCACTGCACGAGCCTCCTCCTCCTGCAGTGCCTCCCTCCCATCTGCACTCACTGCTTGTCCAAAAGGGGTTGCCACTCCGAGTCCCCAGGAGGGGTGAGCCCAGGGTGACCAAGGCAGGGGAAGCCCTTGCAGGACAGAGCTCTCAGCTGGGGTGGATTTTGTCACTGAGAACGACGAGAACAAAGCTTGGAGTGCTGTTTTCCCCCACTGTTA